AGTATTGTGCCCTCCTGACACCCCCTGTACTGTGCCCTCCTGATCCCCCTCATACTGTGCCCTCCTGATCCCAGTATTGAGCCCTCCTGACACCCCTGTACTGTGCCCTCCTGATCCCCCCCCTCGTACTGTGCTCTCCTGACTCCCCCTGTACTGTGCCCTCCTGATCCCCCTCGTACTGTGCTCTCCTGATCCCAGTATTGTGCCCTCCTGACTTCTCCTGCACTGTTTCCTCCTGATCTCAATATTGTGCCCTCCTGGCTCCCCCTGTACTGTGCCCTCCTGATCCCAGTATTGTGCCTTCCTGACACCCCCTGTACTGTGCCCTCCTGATCGCAGTACTGTGCCCTCCTGACCCCCCTGTACTGTGCCCTCCTGATCCCAGTATAAGTAAATAAAAAATCCAGTCTATATCCTATAGTTTGTAGACACTATACCTTTCACACAAATCAATCAATATACATTTATTGGGATTTTTGTTTCTTTTTTTTTTTTGCCAAAGAAATGTAACAGGACACATTTTGGCCAGAATCAAGAGACTTGATTTTTTTATTTTTTTTGAGATGTGTTTTATAGCAGAAAGTAGAAATATTGTTTTTTTTAGCAAAATTGTCAGTATTATTTCTTTTATATAATAAGAATTTTAAAAAAACAGAATTGATCAAATACCACCAAAAGAAAGCTCTACTTGTGTGAAAAAAGATATAAATTTAGTTTGAGTACAGTGTTGCATGACCGGACAATTGTCAGGTAAATTAGCACAACGCCAGCAAACAATGGCCTGATCATGCTCCGGAGGGCAAGTGGCATTTTCTATTATTGGGGGAATATTAATTCCAACTAGCAAAAGCAGATATAGAAACATTGGCAGTATAAGCAGTGTCTACTTATCATAAACCATTTGGGAAAGCTGCCTAAACAAATCTATGCCAACCCTGAACATCTGCTTCATTCACTTTCTTCAGGTTGGCCCGGCGTTTCTGACATGTGGACAGAAGATAAGATTAGGACGATGCGGAGGTATAAAGGCTGGTATGAGGCTATGGAAGGCACAACTGGTGGAACATCATGAAGACCTTCTACTTCTCTGTGTTCTTGGCTTTGCGGGTGAGTTTTACTATTAACTTTAACTCTACTCAGTGATCATTTTTCTATACTTTACTAGTATTCTACGCCAAGAAATTCCCAGTTCAGTAATGGTCTATAATTGTCTAGAGCAGTGGTTCTCAACCTTCCTAATGCCACGACCCTTTAATACAGATCCTCATGTTGTGGTGACCCCCAACCATAAAATATTTTAGTTGCTACTTCATAACTGTAATTTTGCTACTATTTAATTGTAATGTAAATATCTGATATGCAGGATGTATTTTCATTGTTACAAATTGAACATAATTAAAGCATAGTGATCACAAAAACAATTATAATTATAATTCATGAAGTGTTTTACCTCCAATACTTCTGCTTTCAACACAGTAGCTGCTTTCTGCACAGTAGCTGCTTTCAACACAGTAGCTGCTTTCTGCACAGTAGCTGCTTTCTACACAGCAGCAATATGTGTTTTCCAATGGTATTAGGCGACCCCTGTGAAAGAGTCATTCGACCCCCAAAGGGGTCGCGACCCACAGGTTGAGAACCACTGGTCTAGAGACTGATTACCAAATTAAGACAGTATTTTCTGTAAGAAATTATTGATGCCCAATGCAAGAACATTTGCTTTATGCAGATATGCTTGAAACATTTTTTTTTTTTAGTTTGACACAAAAAGTGCACTCGTGTCTTTTGTAGCTGGACGTCAGACTCAAAAGCTCATCAAATACAGTAGACTTTCAGATGTTTTTCGAGTTGCTTCTGTGTTTTATGGTTTTGCCTTTAAATTGAAACTAACAAACCTTTGATTTGCCCATATGGAGCAAAGGCTTGCTCAAATACCCCCAGCATATAATTTGCTCTCCTCTGCCCCCCCCTCTTTTCCATTCATCTATGGGGTCTGAAGGCTATACTCCCAGGTATAACAGAACACATGGCTAACTCCATGTGACAGTGACTTCACAAGCCTTGTGTCAGTTCTGACAGTAGCTCTCCATGGAATTTACTTCACTATGGCAGGTGAATAGAGTGGTAAGGGTGAAACAGGCAGCACAGTGGCTAAATGGTTAGCACTTCCGCCTGGCAGTACTAAGGTCACTGGTTCAAATCCCGACCACGGCACTGCCTGCCTGGCATATTCTCCCTGTGCCTGTGTGGGTTTCCTATGGGTACTCCGATTTCCTCCCACACTCCAAAGACATGCTGGTAGGTTAAACTATAAGCTCATGGCCTTTCGATTGTCATACAGACTCTGATGGGCAGTGGTTAGCCGCCTGTCAGTAGTAGGGTCGTTGTTTTGAATCCCAACCATGGCACCACATGCCTTGGAGTTTGCATGTTCTCCCAGTGCCTGTGTGGGTTTCCTCTGGGTGCTTTGGTTTCCTTCCACACTCAACACATGCTGGTAGGTAAATTTGGCTCCTGTCTATGTGTATGTATGAATGTGAGTTAGTAACCTTAGGTTGTACGATCCTTGAGGGTTAGGGACTGATGTGAATGTACAATATATATATATATACACATATATACATGTAAAACGCTGCGTAAATTGATGGCACTATACAAATACCTCTAATAAATAAATAATAAAACATATGCTGCTGGTAAGGACGACATTAAAGGATACATTCACCTTTCCAAACAAAATAATAAATGTATATTTTTTTTTGCAGGTAAAAAAAAAATGTGCAATTAATAATTTTTTTTCTTATTTTGGAGTGTGTAAAGCATTACACCAGTGATCAGCTGATCGCTGGTGCCATACAGGTCTCCTGCACACTGTCAGTGTATCTGCTTGCTCGTACATCCCGTACAGGGAAGCGGATACTTGCTGACAGGAAGACTCAATGAACTACCACAGTGCTCACAGCTAAAGGCTGTCGGGACTTGTAGTCCATTCATTCAGAGAACACTGTGAATGAAAGATGTGGCGTGTGGGCAGAGACCTGCATGGCCACGCTGTTTTGAAAACGGACAGCCAATACGAGGAACTTCTCCCTGTACTGTTGTCACGGGGGTGGCACATATAACTTGTTCCCAAAGGTGAACCTATCCTTTAACGTAAATCTGCTATTTTGTCCTGCATAGGTAGAGAACAAATTAAGAAGCTACTTTCAGCTGCTTATGAGTTGCTTTTGAATTCTTATTGGGGGCAAATAGACTGTGCACTTTGCAAGTGCAGTTGCTCCAGAGCTTAGTAAATGAGGTAAAGCTTCACTGTACAAAGAATGCCCAATCACGTGCAAGGAAAATTTTTAAAAAACTGCATTTTTGCTTGCACACGATTGGATGATGGAATTCAGCAGAGCGTCCCTTCATTTACCAAGCTCTGGAGCAACTGCCCCTGTAGAGTGCACAGTCTATTTGCCTTTACTAAAGCAACCTCTTTGCAAGTGCAGCTGCTCCAAGCTTAGAAAATGAGGGGAAGCTTTGCTGACTTCCGTTGTCACATTCAAGCCAAAATGCTATTTTTTTTAAAAAAAATGTTTAATTCTTCTTGCATGTGATTGGGTATTTTTTGCAAAATGAAGCTTCACCTTATTTACTAAGCTCCTGGGCAACTGCACTTGCAGAATGGAACTGTACTTGCAAAGTGCACAGTCTATGTGCCTTTAGTAAATCAGCTCCATTGACTTGGATGAACATGAGCTCCATATGTGACAGGAGGAAGAACTGTGTACAGCTATTTCTCACTGAGTTGGTAAAGTTCAGTGTTTTAGGGATGTTTAACCTCTTTCCGCCTGTTTTTACCTCCCCTAGGCCGCCAGTGTAAAAGAACCCTTTGGAGCAAGTCAAATGCTTCAAGCTGCTTATACATCCATCTCTCTATGGCCCTTTTCACATGGGGCGGACTCTGATTAGATCAGCAGGGGACCTGTCCACTGATCTCTTGCTGATCAGAGCAGAGTGGGCAGATGACAGGTCCATGTCCTCTCAGTTTATGCAGAGCAGACATGGACAGAGCCCGCTCTCCCCTCTGCTCTATGGGCTGGAGAGTGTAAACAGACTCTGCTTTCCATTTACACCCAACTGCCCTCCAATCTGTTCTGCCTAGACGGAGGGGGGTGGATACAAGTCCGTTTACACCTGTCAGTCCATACGGGTAAATGAAGGGACCAATCAGGTCTGCCTGAAAAACTGAAAGCAGACCTGATTGGACCCTTTGTTTGAAAGGTGCCTAAGAGTTGCCAGAGTTCACAGTGTTTTATTGAATTTGATTTAAGAGCAAGTGAAAAGTTTTGAGGTGCTTCTGAGCTGTTTTAAGTTGCTTTTGCATTGACTGGGGGTTGGGGGATCTTTTTTATATTAATTTCCCATAATCCCATGTACTCTAGGTCTGAAAGAAAAAAGTCCTGGTACTTTATGTCAATGAAACTCCATTATTTTAGAGAGTGTCATCATTCTGTAGATGTTTTCAGGCACTGGAAACCAAAAGGAAGGTATTTATTTATTTCAGGTACTTATATGGCACTGTCAATTTACACAGCACTTTACATATATATTGTACATTCACATCAGTCCCTAACACTCAAGGGGCGTACAATCTAAGGTCCCTACACTTACATTCATACATACACATATTAGGGCCAATTTAGACATGATCCAATTAACTTACCAACATGTCTTTGGAGTGTGGGAGGAAACCGGAGAACCCGGAGGAAACCCACGCAAGCACAGGGAGAACATGCAAACTCCATGCAGGAGGCACCATGGTCGGGAATAGAACCCATGACCCATTTACTGCAAGGCAGACGTGCTAACCACTAAGCCACTAGGTCATAAGCAACAGAGTCGAAGCAAGACCAGTGTAGTCATAATCTTCCTTATCAAGTAAACAGCCTGGAGACAGGGAAGTGACAAAGCTTTATGTAATTTTTATATTTTATTACTTTCCAGCTGCAACCCCTTTTTATGATGATGATGACAAGATAGTAGGTGGATATCCCTGCCAAGTGTCATACCAGGTCTCTCTGAATTCCGGGTACCACTTCTGCGGAGGTTCCCTGATCAATGAGGAATGGGTTGTATCTGCTGCTCACTGCTACAAGTCGTAAGTATAGTGATTTTTCAGATAGCCTGATCTGCTATGCGCACCTAGGCCTTTATTGAGGCTGTACATCCCAAGAGATGGTGAAAGCAAGAATTGACCATAATAATTTAAAAGAATGTTGACACAGCCACAATTGGTCTTAACCTCCCTGGCGGTATTCCCGAGTGCAGCTCGGGGTAAAATTTCAGTACCAAAAGCGGTAACACCGAGCTACACAGTCAGGCTTACCATGCGGCGTTTTGCTCAGGGATTCCCTGCAGAGCTTACCTTGTCCTTCGCTCCCGCGATGTGTCCCCTGCAGCGTCCCCGGCCATCTCCTCCGGCCGATGCCGGCATCTGGCTTCTGTGTTCTGGTCCCTGTGACGTCGGGATGTACGGGCACCGGCGGCGGGAAATTTGAAAATTTTAAAAAATGTCATTTTTTTTCCAAACAAATTTTACATAATAAAACATTGCTGTTTTCAACCCATTTCACATACATTTTGTCCCGAGTGCTTTGTCCGGCGCCCTGCCTGCATTTTGTCTGTTCTTTCTGCCTGAAAACTGAGAAACGTCCATGGCGTCCAAAAAGTGTCCCTTTAGGTCTCAAAAAAGCGGTTTTAGATCGGCTAGAGAACAGCGATAGTAAATCAGAACCACTTGCAGAATTGAGTGATAATGATTCGTGGGGGAAATTCCTCATCAGACACTGAAAACGATTTTGCGACTTTGCTCAGTGATGTGCGAACTTGGCGCTATATTTCACATTTCAGTGTTTTTGGTTTGATTATATTATTGAATTAAATGTTTTATTATTATATTATTATTTTTAATGATTATTTATTAAATTATATTTTATGATTTCGTGTTTCAAATTTTATCATCCCCGGGATGTTTAATAGACTCTTGTTTGGACAGATTTCAGTGAGTTATTCCTAAAAATTACAGCCTACAATAAAAAAAACTACATATTTCCATGAAAAATAATGGTACCGCTTTCAGCACCAAAAATCTGAAATAATCATACCGCCAGGGAGGTTAACGGACCTTTTTTATCCTGTGGGTAGGACCTATCTACACCCGTGCATGTGGGGGCACCATTATGCACGGAGCGTGCTCACCAATGCCTGGGACCAGGCAGAGATTGTGGTCACGTGAAGAATCTAACATTAGTAGTTCCCAGACGAGCCTTCCCTGTGTGTAGTAAGAATGGAGAGTTCCTCTGAAAAACAGAATGTCGCATGTCACTACACACTGTAACTTTAGCAAATGTTGCATTAGGAGGGACTCACTGAGCGTGAACCCATTCCACCAATCCAGTGCACCTGTTACTTCACTCCCAATAACAGAATGGGGTCCCACCAATCACATAGCATGTACCTCAAACATGCTCATTGTTAACTCCTTACCTTGTGACCAGCTTATGGATCTCCATAAAGAGGATTTTTCTCCCAGTTGATATGGGAGAAGGACCGCTGAGGAGGGAGTCCAATAGTGACCCCCTCACTAATGGAGGATGTGCCACTTTACCAGGTACCATGCCTACAACTGGTTCCTTGTACTTGGTTACTCTTAGCAATGGTATTATTCTTCCTTAACCCTGTTTCCATAATGTATTTCAAATCGCATAGTACTTTACAGACCCAGGTTCTTTTGGGTACACCAGAACCTCCATGCACCCCTTTAAAAAAAACTTCAATACAGTTAACATAACTTTTACTGCATAAAACCTTGTCAGTGCAGTTCAATATGAACATGACCCATTTATCAAAGCTAACTATTAAAGAGTGGCTACCCAGGCAAACCTTGAATAGGTAAAAGTCCATACAGGTGCAGTCCATCTCTGGTGGTGCTCTGGAATCCTCTGCATTCACAGCGGAGTCCCTCTCCAAACTTGAAGTTAGGCGGACAAAAGCTCTCCTCAGTCTTCCTCCTTTTTATATCACAGGTGGGCTGGCTGTGACCCTTAAAGCTTGTGAAACACAAAAGGCCTTTTAACTCGTTCCTCCCTTCAGCCAGGGCCAGCATCTAACTTGCTAAGCAGTTTCCAACCTGTTTACAAGGCTAAAATACATGTGTAAGAGCTGCTAATACTTTCTCAACTATGTAGTATGTGGCTAATGTTCATAAGTTCCAGAAAGCCCTTGAAATGACAATGACATCATGTTTAACACAAAAAACAGCGCAAACATTAAATAAGTAAAAATAATCACAAATAAATGTCTGTGCAAAAAAAAAAATATATATATATATATATATATATAATATTTCAAACATAAGTCCTTATTTTCCCAAAAGGATTTTCAAGACAATGTTCCAAAATGTGCTTCCACCTAATCACCACGTGAAAAATAATATTGACCGCACTCACCAGATGGAGGTGAGTAATAAGCCTCATAGGATATAAGGGATCCTATAGCCCCTCAGGAGGAACTCAAGTCACCTTCTTCACCGTGCTTAGATACAGCAATCGACTCCACTCTACTTCTCCATGGAATCCTCAATAGTGTGCAAGGAAAGAAAGGCTACATAGTGTAATACTGCCACTCAATACCATAAAAATCGATAGAATAAGGACACTCTCCATGTTTCAATAAAATAACAGGCCTTGTTAATAGCCTCAAAGGCTTCAAAGGAACAAGATTCCAAATTGTAAAATATAGGGATCTCACGCTTTAAATCACTGTAGAAGATGACCAGCTTTCCACCTCTAAAATGGCCGCTTGAACGCAAAAGTCGGCGTGCGTTCCAAATACCGGAAGTGACGTAGGCCAAGATGACGGCAGACCGGAAGTGCGTCAACGCGTTTCGCCCCACCCACATCTCAAGACACCACCTTCAGTCTCCAGCCGTCTTTTATACCCCTTAGGGAGAGCTCTCATCCATATCTCCTATGCAAAATAATAGAAACTCCCTCCCACTACCACACCTGATCATTAAACCATTGTGATTACCATACAAAGTTCCAGAAAGCCCTTGAAATACCTGTCTGCTTTTTTTTTCTCACCTTGTACAGACGCATTGAAGTCAGAATGGGAGAATATGACATCAGAGCCGTAGATGGAACAGAACAGTTCATTCAATCGGCAAAGATCATCCGCCATCCGAAGTACAATGCTTACACGATTGACAATGACATCATGTTGATCAAGCTTTCTGAGCCAGCCAAGCTAAGTGACGTAGTTCAGCCCATCGCTCTCCCATCTCAGTGTGCACCTGATGGTACTGTGTGTTTGGTCTCTGGCTGGGGGAACACCATGAACACCGGTAAGTACTAAAGGCTGCCCTGCTACCACACACTACCAGAGAACCCCATGCACAAAATGTGTACCATATTGAAAGGTCTGAAGTCAGAGGAGACAATCCTTCAAGAAAATCTGTGCTGTAATAGCTATGGTACCTATTATTGCTGTCCTTCTATTGAAAATATTTGGTTCTTGGCTGTCTTTGGCTTGTACAGTTTCTGACACACTAGGCCCAAAGAAAGTATCTAGAAAGTAGAATCAGAGCTCATCTTTCTTTACGGAACCCGTACTCTCAACAACAGCAAGGCATCTATCATTGCCAGAAGGTTAGGTCTGCAATAGGAGATTTAGGTATGAGTGCATGCAGGGGACTATGTCATGGATGACCTGTAGGTGCAAAATATAGGAAAACATTGTTATAGCTGAGTGAATGCTTGTGACATTTGTCCAGCAAATTTCTTAAAAAAATAGACCTCCCAAGAGAAGCTAATACTGAGTATGCAGGCAGAGGCGTCCCTAGGGTTGGTGTCACCCGGTGCAGTAACACTTGGTGTCACCCCTACAGAGAGGAAGGAGCGGTGCCGGTGTAGTGGTAAAATGAGTATTTCCCCGTGAAGATATGTATCCCCTGAAGCAACTGCGCATGTGCCAGTTTCAGGCCGAAGAAGCCATCCTCCGACTTTAGCACAGAGCTGCCACAGTTAACCCCTTACAGGCTGCAAACCGCCGAAGGATCCGTGGATCACTATGGGTTGCAAAGTTATACGGGGTTAACTGGTCTTGCAACACATAGTGATCCGCGGGATCAGCTTCAGCCTTTTGCAGCCTGTAAGGGGTTAACTGTGGCAGCTCTGTGCTAAAGTCGGAGAACGGCAGTCGGCTTCTTCAGCCTAAAACCGGCACATGCGCAGTTGCTTCAGGGGATACATATCTTCATGGGATACTCATTTTACCGCTACACCAGGGGCAGCTGTCAGTGTGCTGGGAATCTGGGATCACCCCAGTAACTGGCCAGGGCCCTCACAGAGCACAGAAGCTCTGCTGGCATCCTGCTCCTGCACCCCCTGTGATGGTGTCACCGGGTGCGGCACTCACCCCCCTGGGGACGCCACTGTGTGCAAGCATAGGGGTGAATTTACTAAAGGAAAATAGACTGTACATTTTGCAAATGCAGTTGTTCCAGAGCTTAGTAAATGAGGGGAAACTCTTCTAATATCCACGATCCATTTATGTGCAAGCAAAAATGCTGTTTTTGTTTTTTTATTTTCCTGGCATGTGATTGGGTATTCTTTGCAAAGTGAAGCTTCACCTAATTTACTGAGCTCTGCAGCAATTGCACTTTCAGAGTGCAGTGTATTTGCCTTTAGTAAATCTTCCCCATAGGGTGATTTTTGTTGTCAGTTGACTTTTATTTTGTTTTTACTCTCTTGAGTTCAATTTGTGCTCATTTGTTTAGAGGTTTGAAAGATCTCTTTTTTTTCTCTCCCAGCATCCAACCCAGATCTTCTGCAGTGTGTTGATGTTCCAGTTGTGCCTGCCGCCGACTGCTTGAAGTCCTATCCAGGACAAATTACAGAGAACATGATCTGCTTGGGCTTCCCAGAGGGCGGAAAAGACTCCTGCCAGGTAACGAATGTGAACTCAAAGTCATTAAATATATTTCTATAGAACCAGAAATGAAACCCCAGGAAAATACTTTTTAAATTAACTTTTGTGGAATACAATCTTGTATATGACAAATAATTAACACATTACACTTATGTAACCACTGGAGAAACAGACCACAAACTGCTGGAAGGAGGCAGCCACTGTATATGTTTAACCCCTTGTCGCTGGCACCCCATGGCCCTTTAAGGGGTTTCTGATGCCGGGAGGTGGGGCAGGGTTTTGGGTCATGTGACCACCGTGATTGGCTGTCACATGATCGGAAAGATCCGATCGCAAATGGAGATCAGGAGCTTTCTGTGAGGTGCCGGTAACTATGCTGGGAGCGCGCAGGGCATGCGCTCTCAGCACACGCGCTCTCAGCACATGTTTGTTTACATCGGGTATGCAAATATGCGGCCTCTCAGCTTCAAGGCCCAGCTGCCAAGAGGTTGCATATTTGAGTACCATCGGCACCAAGGAGTTAAATAAGCTCCACCCATCCTCCTAGACAGCCAATAGGTGAAAGCAGAACGCATGTCCATATGGATCCCTGAAGCCTTTGTTGTACTTTGCAAAATGTACATTTTACAATGCAGCTACTCTTTTGTGTTAACTCTTTCGTGTTACAAAACTAGCCCCAAAACTTTTGATACCACCTCATACTGGTGATAAGAATCTATTTATAGAGCATAGTGCTTTAAAAGTACAGCAATTCTTTAATTAGTTTTATAGAAAAGTTATACAAGTCTGGTAGAAGGGGAAATTGCTTTATATGTCCACAGTTGGTGTGTTAGTGAAGGCACACTGACATCTTTTTAATCCCCTTTTTGTTTGATCCAGGGCGACTCTGGTGGACCAGTGGCTGTCAATGGAGAGCTCCAAGGTGTTGTGTCTTGGGGAAGAGGCTGTGCTCTGCCAAATTATCCTGGAGTTTACACCAAAGTCTGTAATTACATCTCCTGGATTGAGGATACCATCGCCAACAACTAATTTCTGAAGTCATCATGCTCTCCAAGATTTCCACCTACAAAATCTGAACTCCACAAAACCCTCCACAGCTGTATCCAGTATTGCCCACACTGCAACAAGGTTTATTTTTCCACCTTTTTTTAAAAGCTATAAATTGAGACCTTTTCACAAAATATCATGATTGTTGTGTACGATGTCATCACGTGATGGGCCCTGCGATGGGAAAACATGAAATAAAATTTTCATTTAGCACTATGACTTGTTTTTTTTTTTAATTGAAGTAAAATCGGCAATTATCAGCTATGGTCTTGCCTTAACTAAGTTCCTTCATAAATGGCTCAATATTTTACACACATCAGTTACTAAATACTGGCGGGGTAGTGGTCAATTGGAGACAAATGATAAGCTTCAAATATTGCCTCGTATTTCTTGCTGAAACCTAAACGATTTGGAAAAAAATCTGAAGCTGGATCCAGTATGGTCTTTTTTTTTTTTTTTTCTTTTATTTACTGAAGCCCAAATTCAGCCCCCAATTTCTTTTCATGTGGGCTAGAGTAGTAAAGGGTAGAGACCCACGTAAAGAAATTATGAGAAATCTCTCCAACGAACACAAAGTCAATAACACATTTTTAATGCAATGAGGAAGGGTCTTCTAATCTACTCATTTTTATTGCGTTTAAAACAGAATTCCATTCTGCAGCAATCTATATTTTTATGCTTCCCATAGTGTACAGCTTAATGCCCTTATTTGAATATGTATCTGACATTTTTTCTACCTTAAAAATGGAAAGAAAGTTGCATGGCTATTCCAGATCCTTTCAGTCTGATACACACTGGCCTGTGGGATAAAACCAGGTGGAGTCAGTACATCACTATGGTAACCTCCTTTCAACAGTAATTAATATTTAGTAGGCATCATGCCTATCTAAACTGATACACACTGCTTTGCACTGCACACAGCTGTGGCACGGCCTCATTTGCTTGAATGGGGAGGCAGTACTGCCTGCTGAATGTGACAGGAGGGATCATTTTTGCCTTGGCCATAAAGCAAAACATTGTGGCCATATCATAAGAATACCCACATCTGCTACCTTTGCAGCTTAAGGGTAAGGGAATCTGGAGGGGTGGCTCAGCCCCATGTTTTTACCACCCTCCCAACTGGATATCTGCAGACCGGAAGTGTGTATGTGAAATGCACATCAATTGCAAATTCAGTGGCTTACAGTGGGGAGGGCAAAGGGAGAAGTTTGCAGAGCAACACAGTTTTTCATCAAACACCAGAGGCAGAAGCAGATTTTTCTCTGATGCTCTGCCATGAACCCGTGTACAAAAAAGTGAACCGTGAAATCACAGTATGGCCAATCCTTGAAGAGAAAGGGCCACTAACCCTGAACTCCTGAGGCTCAAGACTTCTGACAGACGCAAGGTACGACATGGTCTACCTAAACCCAAGCCAGGTGGACCCCACTCCTTAGGGACCAGCCAAAACTGATCCAACAAGTGGTTGGTGAGGGACTCCCCTGAAGAGACCCCTCCAAATTGGGAGAGGCAAAGGACCCAAAGGCCACAGAACCTCCCCCGATGATCTTGACCCTGTCTATGTGCAAACACACACAAAAATAACCTCCAAAAAAACACATGCAGTGTACTAACAATACAAAATATATTCAGTGCCTAAAACCGCAATAAAGTGATAATCATAATAATAATGTTATTAACAATATTATTACTAATGCACCTTAAACAAAAAATCCCGCAGCAGCTGAGTCAACTTACTCCTCCAGACAAGCAAAAACCCAAATCACACTCTACTCCCCGCACTTAGATCAGGGTTTCTCATCCAGGGTACTATGGAGCCCTAAGGGTTCCTCCAGAGGTTGCTAGGGGTTCCTTAGAGCAATGAGCACTTTCCTGCCTCTTTAGATAAATTCCCACTGAAGCTACTGATACATTTAGCTATCTGTAAGAGTGTAATTCCTCCAGGAGTGTATGGAACAATCTATCCACTGACCATCACACTAATGTATCATGTGTTGTAGATATAGTCATTTTTAACCAGGGTTCCTTGAGACCGGAAAGTTATTTCAAGGGTTCCTCTGTGTTGAAAAGGTTGAGGAAGGCTGGCTTAGAATATACCAATATAATACCAGTTTAAGTGCTTATGAATTAATAAGTGACAAACAACAAAACAAAAATAAAAAAGTGCCATTTGCAATACACAGCAGGACCTTTTGCCAGTATAAAAATTGCCCTGGCTGGCCAAAATACACCAAAGGCATGATGTAAGAAAAGCTATTTTTTACTTTGTGACGCCTTCCATGTTCACTGTTTAACTAGCTGCCGACCGCAGATAGCCGAATGACGGCTACACTGCGGCCGGCCAGTTCTGAGTGGATGTCATATGACGTCCTCCCAGAACGCGCTCTCCTGCGCGCCCCAGGGGGCGCGCACCCAGCGATCTCCGTGATCGCTGTGTCCTATGGACACAGCTGATCACGTGCTGTGGTAAAAGGCCAATCACAGCGGCCTTTTACCACGTGATCAGCGGTGTCCAATGACACGCTGATCAGAGGGAAATGCAAGTGCCGGTTCTGGCTGCACTTTCCTCACGCTGTCAGATCGTGAGGAAAGTACTGCCGAGAACCGGCAGTTGTCAGAGCGGGGATCGGCACCGATCATCAGGGCACTGATGATCAGTGCCCTGATGATCGGTGCCCAGCAGTGCCACCCGCAAGTTCCGCCCACCTGTGCCCAGCAGTGCGCCCACTAGCTCCGCCCACCCGTGCCCAGCAGATCACCCACCTGTGCCCAGCAGTGCACCCACCTGTGCCACTCTGCAGTGCACCTACCTGTGCCCAGAAGTGCCACCTACCTGTGCCCAGCAGTGCCACCCTCCTGTGCCCACCCACCTGTGCCCACCAGTGCCACCCACCTGTGCCCATCCACCAGTGCTGCCCACCAGTGCAGCCCAGCAGTGCTGCGCAGTCAGTCAGTCAATGCCCAGCAGTGATGCCAGTCAGTGCCGTCTATCAGTACCCATAATCAGTGTCACCTATCAGTGCCGCCTATCAGTGCTGCATATTAGTGCCGCCTATCCGTGACACCTCATTAGTGCTGTCTATCAGTGCCGCCTATCCGTGCCACCTCATTAGTACTGCCTATCAGTGCCCTTAGTGCTGCCTATCAGTGCCCATCAGTGCTGCCTCATCAACGCACATCAGTGAAGGAGAAAAAATACCTGTTTGAAAAATTTTATAAAAGAAAGAAACTTTTTTTTTTCTTTCAAATTTTTTGCATTTTTTTTATTTATAACGCAAAAAGTAAAGCGCCCAGCAATTGGCGACAAAAAAATAGCTCTATTTGTGAGAAAAAAATTATCAAAATTTCATATGGGTACAATGTTGCATGACCGCGCAATTGTCAATCAAAGTGCGGCAGCGCTGAAAGCTGAAAATTGGCCTGGTAAATAAGGGGGTATAAGTGCCTGGTAGGCAAGGGGTTAAAAAGCCAGTTATAGACCTGGGTAGGTGACCAGTTTTTTCTTTGTATGTTAATTTTGGAGGTTCAGTGGGTGCATTGGACACCCTGGCTGCCGTTGTGCTACATGCTGGGTGTCAGGTGCGCTCCCATGACCTTAATGAGGGGTGGGCTCCCTTAGGTTCACCTGCCCTTGTTTCTATCCATTTAAATGCATGTGCCTCCATTGTGAGGACTCTCAAGATTTATAGAGTTAGGACCACGGATACTCAGGGTGCCGTGACGCGGCTCTGTGGCTTACGTATGTATTTGCAAATGTGTGCTAACTAAACCCCTGTTTTTAAACGCATGTTCTTAGACAGGTTAATTTGGTTTTTTGTAGTTGGCTAACTGTCTGGCAGTTTGAACTGGCTTTCTTATCCCCCTCTTTTGATAAGGTTATACTTATCCATGTTCCTTGCCGACAATAGCTGTGATTAGACTGGGGTAGGCTGGCAAGTTGAACTGGATAGTCCTATTTTTTACTTTGTGACGCCTTCCATGTTCACTGTTAAAAAGCCAGTTATAGACCTGGGTAGGTGACCAGTTTTTTCTTTTTTTTTTTTTTCTCAGTATAAAAATTGCCCTGGCTAGCCAAAATGCACACAAAGGCATGATGTAAGAAAAGCTTATAGTGAAGTGACCAAGTGCTAGTGAAACACCATGATATGGTGCAATGCAAAAGTGGTTTACCGTCATCCCCTGGGACAGCACCCCCTGGGGGCACATCACCGGGGGCTCCTTGTGACTCCCAGCCCCAGGCCAGAGAAATGCCCCATTCACATCAGAAAGGCAATAGAAGTAGTTGGGACAGACACAAGTAAGGCTGGAGTTCTGCTTTAAAGCCATGTAATCTTGCTTATATTTAATAACAATATAATATATATCTATGCTGTGCCAACTCCTATATTCAGTGAATGTGCAAATAAAGAATTTTTCTCATATATCTCAGTATTCAGTGTATACAAATTAAACAATATACCATTTCAAAATGAAGCATTTGGTGTATTGCTTGCACAATAACGTTCCTATATTCTGCTTTTCCACCACGCGTGTTTCTTATTTCCTCAGTATTCCACATATCAATCCACGTCGTAGTGACTCCCACCATCTCTGTGCCTATGTGCTTATACCTCCAACTTTGGACCTGTGTAAATCAGGTCAACCTTGCCTTCCCCTCTGGGGATCACTACAAATGCTGCTCTGGTGTTATCTCTGGCGGTGTTCCTTCCTGTGTCTTATTATGTATGATGTATATTACATTAGGAAGAATAGACGTGGGGTTCCCTTCCAGAGGTTGCTAGGGGTTCCTTGAGCAATGAGCACTTTATGCCTCTTAGATATACTCCCACTGAAGCTACTGATACATTTAGCTATCAGTGTAATTCCTCCAAATGGTGTATGGAACAATCTATCCACTTGTCACACTAATGTATCGTGTTGTAGATACCGTCATTTTTTTTTTTTTGGGGCCTTGAGGAAGAGCGGAAAGCTATTTCAAGGGTCCTCTGTGTTGAAAAGTTGAGGAAGGCTGGCTTAGAATATACCAATATAATACCAGTAGTGACTCCCACCATCTCTGTGCCTTTGTGCTTACCTCCAACTTTGGACCTGTGTAAATCAGGTCAACCTTGCCTTCCCCTCTGGGGATCACTACAAATGCTGCTCTGGTGCTACCTCTGGCGGTGTCCCTTCCTGTGGTCTTATTATGTATGATGTATATTACATTAGGAAGAATGGACATGTGGTCCCTTGAAGAGTTCAGACCGGCCCTCACATATACTCTGGGGGCCCCACACTGTGTAGTGTGTTAAAACCACTTTATTTAATATTAAAGTGGTAGTAGAGTCACTTTGTATTATATTAAAGCTTGCCTGTAGGTAAAATGAATATCTCCTAAGCATCCATCATGTAGGAGATATATTTTTTCGGAGCAGTAGCCGGTGACAATACTGACGCATGCTCTCTGAAGTAACGTCATACCCGTGTCGTTCCTTCAGAGCTGTGTGCCATGGTCAAAACTCCTGCGTGCATGCGTAGAGTGGCGTCATCGGTGGCTCGACCTTTCAAGCAGCCATGACCCCGGAAGAAAGTCTAGGTGAAGATGGGAAGCCTTCTGGAGGACTTCGTTCTAAGGTACCGTATATACTCGAGTATAAGCCGAGGTACCTAATTTTACCACAAAAAACTGGGAAAAACTATTGACTCGAGTATAAGCCGAGGGGGGAGGAATAGTGCCCCATCGTTGGTGTCAGTGGGGGGAGGAATAGTGCCCCATCGTTGGTGTCAGTGGGGGGAGGAATAGTGCCCCATCGTTGGTGTCAGCGGGGGGAGGAATAGTGCCCCATCGTTGGTGTCAGTGGGGGGAGGAATAGTGCCCCATCATTGGTGTCAGTGGGGGGGGAGGAATAGTGCCCCATCGTTGGTGTCAGTGGGGGGAGGAATAGTGCCCCATCGTTGGTGTCAGTGGGGGGGAGGAATAGTGCCCCATCGTTGGTGTCAGTGGGGGGAGGAATAGTGCCCCATCGTTGGTGACCCCTGCTCCAGCCTGGGCTCGCTCGCTCCCTCCCTCTCCCATGGTACACACTTACCGGTCAGATGTCTTCCTTCTCCGGCCGCTCTCCTCCTCTTCACTCGCTCGATCTTCGCGGTGCCGCTCGGCTCCTCCTCTCCAAGCTCACCTCCTCGCCGGTGATTGGGCGCCTGTGTGCCTCTCCTGAGCTACAGTTCCGGCGGCCAATCACCGGCGAGGATTGATCCCGGGGGTGTGTCCAGATGACAGGGACAGCATGTCATCTGCAGACGTTGAAGTATAAGCCAAGGGGGCCGTTTTTCAGCACAAAAAATGTGCTGAAAAAACTCGGCCTATACTCGAGTATATACGGTAAGTCTTTTCATAATTTGTTAGTTTGCAATACATACTAGCACCTTGTGATATTACCTAGCAGCAGGAGACTTTTTTTTTTATGTTTACTACCGCGCTAAATTGCACTTACATGACCTTGTATTTTTGATGACTGTTTTCCTCTTTTTTTTTTTTTTTTAAATTCTCCTTCCAGTTTATTTTTCTTTATCCAACATATCTTTATGCCGACTTCAATACCATCATGTTGTAAAACTCATGGACTATTCCACAAATGTGTACTTATATACATACACAGATTGCTTTAACCCCTCGCCTACAGGGCACTTATACCCCCTTCCTGCCCAGGCCAATTTCCAGCTTTCAGCGCTGTCACACTTTGAATGACAATTGCGCGGTCATGCAACAGTATCCATATGAAATTTTTATCATTTTTTTGAGACAGAGCTTTATTTTGGTGGTATTTAATCACCTCGGGGTTTTTTATTTTTTTCTTAAACAAACCAAAAACCGCTGAAAATTTTGAAAAAAAAAAAATTTTTCTTAGTTTTTGTAATAAAATTTTGTAAATAAGTGATTTTTCTCCTTCACTGATGTGCGATAATGAGGCTGCAGTGATGGACACTGATAGGTGGCACTGATGAGGAGGCACTGGTAGGTGGCACTGATGGGCATTGACAGGCATCACTGATGTGCACTGAAAGGCAGCACTCATATATGGCACTGATAGGCGGCACTGACTGGCACTGTTAGGCGGCACTGACTGGCACTGAGGTGACACTGATTGGCAGCACTGACTGGCATTGATAGGTGGCACTGACTGGCACTGGTAGTTGGCACTGAAAGGCAGCTCAGATGGGCACTGAAATGTGGCATTGATGTGCACTGTAGGTACTGAAATGTGACACTGATGGGCACTGGCAGGTGGCATGGATGAGCACTGACAGCTGATGGGCACTGCTGGGGCTACACAGATCATCAGGGCACACTGATCATCAGTGCTCTGATGATCAGTGCACTGTCCCCTCCAAGGAATGCCGATTACCGGCTCTCCTCTCCTCTGTCAGCGTGACAGCTCGTGAGGAGAGAAATGCAGATAATCAGCATTTCCCTGTTTACATGTGATCAGCTGTGATTGGACACAGCTGATCACATGACCGAGCCGACATCTTCGGCTCTTTCCGTTGATCGGTGATCCGCTGTGTCCGAGGGACACAGCACACCGCCAATCGCCGTGCTGCGTGCTCCCGGACCCACTCGTACGCGGTTAGAATGGGAGAACGTCATATGGATTCCTCCCAGAACGAGAGAACAACCTTGCGTCTGTCATATTACTATATGGCGGGCGGAAGGCGGTTAAGAAAAGTTCTGGATTGTTTCTTAGATAGACAGAATATAACTGGATATATCATTTATAGGTAAAGTTGATCCAGGGAATATCTGATTGCCACTCGGGGGATCAGGAAGGATTTTTTTCCCCTGCAGGAGCAAATTGGATCATGCTTTGCTGGGTTTTTTTTTTTTTTGCCTTCCTCTGGATCAACTGTGGGTGTAGGATTATAACTTTTTTTTTTGTTTAATGCTTGAACTGGATGGACTTTTGTCTTTTTTCAACCAGACTATGTAACTATATATGTTTATTCTATCTACATGAGTCTCCATTGTTGCCCGGAACTGCCATCCTTGTTTGTTTTTTTTGTGGTTTTAATTCTTTAATTACATAATTGTTGGGTGGAGCATGTTTGTATATATGTCCTGTGGTCAAAGCGACTTGCCAAAATGCTTTTTTTTTTTTTATGTCTCTACCTTGTAACAAATAAAGACTTTAATATGGACATCAGAATTGCTGGCTCTTCCTATTGCTCCAAAGCGGTTTAAACACACTACACAATGTGGGGCCCCCATTTGTCTGTGAGCATATTTGCAGAGTATATGTGAGGGCCAGTCTGAACTCTTAAAGGGACCACATGTCCATTCTTCCTAATGTAATATACTTCATACATAATAAGAGCACAGGAAGGAACACCGCCAGAGGTAGCACCAGAGCAGCATTTGTAGTGATCTCCAGAGGGGAAGGCAAGGTTGAGCTGATTTACACAGGTCCAAAGTTGGAGGTAAGCACATAGGCACAGAGATGGTGGGAGTCACTACAACGTAGACTGATATATGGAGTACTGAGGAAATAAAAAGCATGTGGTGGAAAAGCAGAATATAGACACTTCATGTGCAAGCAATACAAAAGATGCTTAATTTTGAAATGGTATATTGTTTTATTTGTATACACTGATTACTAAGATATAAGGGAAAAATGTATTTGCACATTCACGGAATATAATAGTTGGTGCAGCATAGTTCTGTTCAGGGGCGGACTGACCATTCGGGTGCTCGGGCACTGTCCGGGTGCCCCATGAGATGCCCCTGGTACCTTTTGGATTTTTTTTGGTGTGGTTTGAGTGTGGGCGAGGACATGGGCCCCATGAGTTATCAGTCCGGCCCTGGTTCTGTATTACCAGTATATCGTTTTTATTTCTTGATATTGTGGGAACACTTTTTATGTTTACAGCCTTCTGTTGGTAGGTATTTTCATTTGTTTATGTTTTTTGGGTTTGGAGTTCTTGGGATTTCATTCATTTGTTCTTACAAACTGTACACATAATATTAAGAGGAGCGCAGGATTATTACAACACATTCATAATCTTCCTCATATTATTATCTCTCTGTCATAGATGAAAGGAAGCGATGGTTTTGCCCTAAACAGAAGGGTGTCTGCATGCATTTCCAAGGAATCTTGCCTGTGGCTTCTAACTTATAGTAAGTGCTTGAGTAAAACCATATACAGTATGATGTCACTCTCGAGTGCTTACATTTCAATGAATCAGGTTAGCAGAAAAACATGTATAATCAGGACTCCTTTCACCATTTAGCGAGTCGAGCCAGTTGTAACCGTTTCCTGAATGACAAGCACAAATACTCCTGCACTTGGGAGTGAACTTGATAAAGGGAATGGATCCATCCTGGTGATCCTGGATAGCGCACATCTTGCTGCCCTCAAAGAAATGGGGAAGTCCAAAGACATTGGATACAAAGAAAACAAATGGTGCACTGGTCTAGTGCATTACCTTAAATAACAATTATTGATAAAAAGTGATTACCTATCACCTTGTATCAATAAATGTTATTTAAGGTAATGTGCTAGGCTAGTGTGCACTCTGTTTTCTTTTACCATTTCCTCTGCTGCTGCAATTCCTCCCTCTACAGGGAGAAGGATTCCTATTGTCTTCTGCTTCAGCTGTGGGAGTGCTGTCACTCAGGAGGAACGGAGGATCGCTCAGTAATGCTGGGAGCTTCAAGGACTCATGGAGGATGTAGTCCCCAGGAAAGTGGCCCAAACTGCAGAAAGGCTGAGAGGGACTACAGGTCCCAGAAGGGGTAGTTGCTGCAGGAAGGAGGGTTAACTGTGAAAACCAACACTGGGAGGCAGTCTCACATGGGGAGTGAGGGAGCATTGTTATGAGAGAGGGGACCCTGTGTGGTACACTTCCTAAAAGCCTACCCTGCTCCTTTGAGACCATGGCTGCTGTCTGCTCCAGAGACGTCTTTTGCCACCCTGATCACTGCTGCCCCTGAGGTCTGCTGCTAAATGTGTGAGGCCTCCTGCTTGGGGCTACCACTGGCAATCTGTGGAGACTGCGACCAAGGATTACTCCAGATATCCAACTGCTACTGACATGTCAGGGACTGCCAGAATTGCTTAGTCAAAATCCAGTGACTCTGTTTCACTCGACCCAGGAGAGGTAGGGCACTTTGTGATAGAAGCTGAAGTGGTGAGAGGTCTTTGGCCACCATTGTCAAATTTCTGCTTAAATTGAGAGCAGTGCTACCCCTTTCTGGGACCCCCATGGATTTGAAGAGTGCCCTCCTTGCTTGGATTACAAAACTCTGTTTAGAGTTTCCAACTTAAACTTTGGGCCCCAACACTGGCTTCCAACAGATATTCACTGGCCAGTGGGAGGGGAGGTGGGGGATTAATAGGGACTATGTTTTATAACCCTGTGTGCATCTCCTGTAGCTAAAGTAACCCTTTACAGCAGGGGTGGGCAACTGTGGCCCTCCAGCTGTTGTAGAATTACAAGTCCCATCATGCCTCTGGTAGTCACACTTGTAACTGTCAGTTTTGCAGTGCCTCATGGGATGTGTAGTTCAACAGCTGGAGTGCCACAGTTGCCCACCCCTACTTTAAAGTGATAGCAAACCCTCTGTTTTTTTTAAGCCCTTTCAGCAGCTGCTTTAATAACTTGGTGAGTATGCAGCTCCTCCATCTTTTAATTCTTGCCTTTCAGTTTAAGCTGGTGCTGGATCATTGCCCCAAGTTTCTTATTTTAAGGTGGTTCCTAAGGAGTCACCTGTACATGCAGGGACTAGAGTTGTGTCTCCATACACATGTGGTTTGAGTACAGTACTAGGCCTCACCATAGGCCAGGACATTTGTAGTCCTTTGCGTCCCTTAACTAAAGTGAAAAATGTTTATTGGGGTGCTTTTTTAATGCAAGACATTTGGGTACCTAATTTATTTGGTATTAACCTTTTGCCACCCATGTACAGCAAAGCTCAGATTGAGAGAGTGAGAAGCAGCACAAGAAGCAAATCAGTTGGCTTGTAGTGCTAAAAAGGGACATGTTTATAGGAGGAGACAGCAGAGTGACAGTGATATGAGCTCATCAGTCTGCTGCTTCTTCACTGTCCAATCACAGGCTGGAGGAGGGACAAGACCTGTACATGTTACTTAATTGCAGCAAGGAGAAATCAAGTCTCCTACCTTGCCAGACAGGGCTGTGCGGCACACCTGTGTTAACCTCAGGACTGGATTGACACAAATACAAGTTTGTAAGAGGACTCTTTTTTTCTCACCTGTGAATGTAGCGGTTTGACTGGAGCTCAACATTAACACAATCTGACCCTTATTGGAAACATAAAAATGTATGTTAAAACAACAAAAGAAAAATACCCTAATTTAGACCATTATTAATTTATTCATTGATGCAGATAGCAATTCCAATTTGTTTCTGGGATCATAAGAAAGGATCCTTCTGGATAAAGGTTTAGTCGTCAGATACAATGCTGTGGATCCAGTCGGTGTATTCACAAACCTTGGTGTAGACACCGGGGCAGTTCTTCTGAGCACAGCCATATCTCCGGGAGACAATACCCTGGAGCTCTCCATTACATACCATGGGGCCACCGCAGTCACCCTGAGGAGACAGATTGAGATCAAATAGTCATCTTCAAACCAAATCTAAAACAATCTAATTTTTAGCAGATTTAAAACTAATGGAGTTTGCATAATCATTGCAGCAGTACTGTCTGGGCAAATGATCTCATTCCAGGGCAAATTCCTTGGGAAAACAATTACCTGTGGCAGGTTCCATGGAGCCATAAGGTTCCTCCAGTGGTTGCTATCGGTTCTTTGGGCAATTAGCAATTTCTACCACTCAGGTTCCCTCTGACACCATTGATCTTTTAGCTATCTACAAGGGGTAATTCTGTCCAATGACCACAAGTGTAAGGAACATTCTTCCCCCTGACCATCACATGAATGTATCATAAGTTGTAGGTTTAGTAATTTCTAGCAGGGGTTCCCTGAGACCAGAAACGTATTTCAAAAGGTTCTTTGATGTTGAAAAAAGCTAACCCGTGGTATATCTTGTTTAAGACTTAAAGCCCACTGAACTTTCAGTTTAAAGCAGCTAAATACATTCCAGAGGTAAAACAAATTCAAAAGATGTTCACTGTGCTGTTATTTTCTTTTTTTTTTTTAATAAATATTTATTTATTTTTCAAATCATATACAAAAACATTTCTATTAAACTCATCTAAAAAAAAAAAAACAAAAACATTGTTTTCTCCTCATAATTTATTTATATGCAACTTCCTTTTTTTACCATCCCCCCCCGCCCAAGAACCTCCCCCCTCTATCCTTAGCCCCCCCCCCCCCCCCCCCCCCCCCCCCATCTCCTACATTTTCTCTTCTCGGATTATGTCCATATTATTCTGTTGTTCCTAAACCTCTTCCTGGGATATTATCTCATCATATATTTTTCCTTTTCTCTGTATTCTTCCCAGCCTTTCCATTTTTTTATTATACAACTCCAACTTGTCCTCTTGCATATAGAACAATTTTTCTGTCTCTGAGATCTGGTTTACTCTACCCCTCCAATCCTCCTCAGTTGGCACCTCTTTTCTTTTTAAGAACAGTCACATCCTAAACAGAAATGCCTATCCCCTGCCAGCATCTGCAGAGTGGGGCCCTTGCTCTGTGGTGAAGTAATGGTCCCTCTGCAAAGCTCATTCATTCTCCCTGCTGATTGGAGAATTAAGTCTGACGCAACAGAGGATGTGTCGGGCTTCAGCAGAAAGACCGCTGCTTCCCCACAAGGGAAGGGAATGTCTCTGGATTCTTCTGGCAGGGGACAAGGTTTTCAATTCAGGATGTGACTGAATAAAGAAAAAAAAAAAAAAAAATTAAAGTTGGGCTTTAAACATAGTGTTTGAGTGCACATGGAATGTATTTAGTTGATTTAAACTGAAGGTTCAGTTTAAATTTAACCACTGAAGTTCCATCCACCATTTTACAACAGCACTGGGATAGTGGCTTACTAACCCCAGTGCTGGTGTCAGTGGCTCCTGACAGCACTGGGGGAAAAAAAAAAAAAAAAAAGTCCATGCCGATGGTTGCACAGCAGTAATCCCAGGAGCTTGAACTATAAGCTCCTGGCCTTGCGATTGTCATACAGACTGATGGTCAGCTACCTGGCAGTACTAGGGTCATTTGTTCGAATCCCAACCACGACACCACCTGCCTGGAGTTTGCATGTACTCCCAGTGCCTGCATGGGTTTCCTTCCACGCTCCAAAGACATGCTGGTAGGTAAATTTGTCTAAATTGTCCCTAGTATGTGTATGTATGAATGAGTTAAGGACCTTAGATTGTACGCCCCTTGAGGGTTAGGGACCGATGTGCATGTAAAATATATATGTAAAGCGCAGCTTAAATTGACGGTGCTATACAAGTACCTAAAATAGGAACGCATTGTAGGCACGATTTAGTAAAAATTGGTGTATTACTAATTAGTGCTCACATATAATCAAAAATTATTAAAGTCATATTAAGTGAATAATATATTCACACACACACTAAATCCGTGCTCCACAGCAATGACTCACGTGCAAATATTGTGAATCCAAAAACCTTCTAAAGTGGCTCTCATGATCTAAAGGATCATGATAAAAACTGATAAAGATCCTCCATAGTGTAAATCAGTATCTGTTTTATCATGATCCTGTGTGGGTGAACTACTGAGACAAGTACCAGGGGTGTGGAGTTAGGGATTCGGGTGTGACCAGAAATGTGTGGACTGACACAGGGAAGTAGCAGGCCTCAGGAACACAGGCGTAGTCAGGGCTGGAGAGGTGGAATGGTCAGGCAGGCTGCAAGGTACTGTCAGGCTCCGCCCAACGGGATCTCTAGTGGTCCACGGCACGGGGTTTCCCAGGATGCAGAGTCTAAGTCCCAGTCTGCCTTTTCACCAGGGCCCCTGATGGTGGGGATGGACTTGGTGCAAGACTGAAACCAGGTCGCGTTCCTGGGCACCCCCGGCGGTGGCAGAGGGGTCCTGCTGAGGGTATGTGCCCGGGTTGAGCCTGCTGTGAAGGGGATGACAGATCCCGATCCGAGCGGGATGGATGGGCGACTGTCAGAAGTAGGCGAGGTCAGACTAGCCGGGTCGGTATCGTGCGGGCAGCGTGGTACAGGGGGAGCAGGCAGAGAATAGTCAGGGTCACAAGCCGGGTTCAGTAACTCACGGACAGCGTGGTACAGGGGATCAGGCAGGATGGTCAGGCAAGCCAGGGGTTCAACAGGAGACGGTCAGCAGAGGTCAGGATCAAGCAGGGTCAGCAACGAGGCAGGAACACAGGATACCAGGTACAGGGGCTCATGGGAAAACACACACCAAGGCCCTGATCACAGGTCTGGCCATTCCTTAAATACACCCCCTGCAATCAGCCCCAGGTGTTGGCCGATTGCCTGGAGTGAGCTTCTGGCTGCTGAGAGCACCCGCTGGTCAGCCCTGGTACTGCAGCCCACATGGCAGGCGAGTCCCACCACCAGTGCCGAGTCCATTCCTGACAGGACTACTCAGGAGGATAAAGGCCTGTGGATTTCCAGGAGGATTCATCTAGTGGTGACGAGATTGTTCCTGGGAAAGAGTTACTTACCCAAAAGCGAGCTGGCCTTTGTGGTCACTATTGGGAGGTGAGGGGCCACTTTAGGTTTTTGGATTCACAATATTTGCATGCGAGTCATTGCTGTGGATCACGGATTTATATTTACTTTGCTGGGGACATTTTTTCAGTGGATATATATTTTATTATTTCACAGAGTTTTATACACATGCATAAATATATTATTCACTTAATATGACTTTAATAATTTGATTATATGTGTGAGCACTAATTAGTAATACACAAATTTTTACTAAATTATGTTTATTTAATTTGTTTGATTGTATATTGATCTAGCATTTATTCAGCGCTGCACCATTTATTATTTATTGTTGTTTTACACTTTATTGAAGGGGGGGGTGTTAGGAGCTTAGTGGTAGGTTGCTCTATTCAAGCGCAGGAGATTTTCATTTTTCATTTTTTTGCATTGTAGGCATGAATGTAACAGTTCATTGTTGTGTTTACATGGGGAATACAGTGACATTACAGCGCTTCCTTTGAGTATAGAGGCCACCACAGAGCTATTACACCTCTATCTAGCCTGTAGCTACAGCACTAGATCAATGCTAGAGTGATCTATTGCAGCCAGCGATAGATCACTATTAGACGTGATCTATTGCTGAAAAGAAACAGAAAAGTACCGGTAAATGAAAAAAAAATAGGCACACAGGGTTTTCATTAATACAGATTGAGGTCCTCCAGAATGGGTTCTCTAAGCAGAGAAAACTGGTCTTCCACTTTTCTCTGTATTTTGCAACTCTTGGATTGGGTTCTGGAATTTAGAGGCTTCAAGGAGTCTTTGGAGGGATGAAGTTCCAAGTTTTACTGAGGACCAGCAGGCTGTGTGTCTAGGAGCGCACAGCCTTTATAATCAAGGGGTTGTCTACCGTTCAGGGCCCCACCCAGTCACCTGCCCAGGGCATAGGCCAGCACTAAAGGGAGCAGACATGTGAGAGCTGAGAGCTGTGTAGCCCAATGGGAGCTGCGAAATAGCCAGAAGGCAGTTTTTGCTTTAAATGCCATGTAAAGCTGACCCCCCTGTGTGGGAATCCTGATGTAAAGAGATAGAGATAAATACAAGGTGCTCAGGGGTGGGGCTAGGATATACATCATATATTTGTTTGTCTCTGGTACCTCAAAACCAGATTTTCCCTTTTTTTATATTTTTGTACATTTGAGGATTTAGTACTACCCTATTCACAGACAGACATACAAAAATCACAGATTACCAGGCAGGAGTCTTTTCCAGCGGCCAGATAGCCAGCACAGAACACATTTTCAGCGATTTCACCGGGGTAAGAGTTTTGGCACTCGCTAGTGGACAAAATTGGGGCATTCAAACATTGCAGAAGATCTGGATAATTAGCTGAAAGGGAAATAAAACAAAAATATAGGTCAGCATAAAATTAATCTTCCACATTTGATCTTTCCAAGATTTCACGGTTTAGGGTTATTGATCCATTATCTCCTGCGCTCAAAGACTCAGATCAAGCAGGCGTTAGTGACAAGCAGCGTGTTGTGTGTTCATCCGCTGGTGATCAGAGGTTGTGCAGCTCTATCATGAAGCTGGGGAAGCTTAAAACTGTAGAGGAAGATGAAAGAGCGCACAAACCTTGCGCATTACCTCAATAAATAGTGACTAATTTTTTTAAGGAAATATACTCACAAAATGATTGTATAACAAGTAACCATAATCCAAACAGGGTTACAGGTAAATCAAAAAGGGGGGGGGGGGATGAAGGCTAACACGTTTCGAAGGGTGCTCCCTTCATCAGAGCTGGGTTTGGCAGATAGAAACTTCAGTATGGCAGAGTTCCCATGGCAAGAAGATATTCAGCCTGGGTACAGAGTAAAAATCTTTAAGTATGATACTGTCCAAGATTTAGATGGCCACAAGACTAGGAAATAATACTTTGTGACTTACTTCTGCTGCTCAGAGTGTTGCCCCATCCGGAGATCAGACAGTTGGTACCGGTGGCAGCGCAGCCAATGGGCAGACGTGCGGCATGGACATAGCCATCGTAAAAGGCTGCCCTGGAGAGTTTGACCAACATGACATCATTTTCCAGAGTTGAGGAGTTGTAGTCTTCATGTATGATGACCTTGGTGGAGTAGATGAACTGCTCGGTGACCTCATTCAAGGAAAGGCTGTATTCACCTAGTCTGACCCGAAAGCTCCTGAAATAAGTTAGCCAAACATACATCTTTATTTATCACATGCTAAAATGATCTTTATTCTTTATGTAGTTTACGTCATGTCTTTAACATAGCACCAGTGTGCCTTTAGGTGCTCAATTTTAGCAGTTAAATTCAATACGGTAATTAATTGGGGAAGATTAAAACGTCAGGGGGCATTTTTTTAATGGGCCCCCATTAAACAAAAAAAAAACCCACACACCACAAATCTGCTGCCTACAGTACCTCTTTACCCACAAGATGTCCTCAGTTTTCCTAGCATTATTCAACCAATAGGACTAAGGATAGAGTCATTGCAGAGCATCTTAGCCCCACCCCTGAGCACCTTGTATTTATGCAGAGCTATGCTGATGTCAACATGACAGCACCACTTTCTGCATCTGCCAGGACCACCTACCACAGGGAGAAAATCCTAGCCCCACCCCTGAGCACCCTGTATTTATGCAGAGAGCTATGCTGAGGACTGTTGAACAAGAAAAATACAGGATTTAAAGGAGAGAAATTGCTCTTACGGTTTGTAGCATTGAGCAGCAGAGATCACCCACAGGTCAGTTATCAGGGTCCCCCCACAGAATTGGCTGTCGTAGTTCAAGTACACCTGGTAGGGAGCGGCGGTCTTGGTGCAGGTGAAACCAACAATCTTGTCAACAAAGGCAACTGCAGTCAAAGATTGAGAATAGAACCATTTATTGTACATCCACTACAACAGCAGATTGCTTAAAGCTCAACTCCAGGCTCTAAACACAGGAAATATATAAAGGTGCATTTTACACAAAGGATATGTAGCTCTGTTCACCCAAATCTGAGATTTACACAGCTCTGCCATGCAGCTGGCAGGACAGAAGACCCACTGTTTTCTTTGTTGCAATTAACACCACTTTAAGTTAATGTCCCTCCCTCAACCTTTGACTGGACAGTAAAGGAGAAGCAGCAGACTGATGAGCTCATCTCTTATCAAGATTCTCTCTTGCCAACACATGGACATTGCAGAAAAGCTAACTGGCTCCTTTGTATGCTTCTCTCTCCCCTGTTATAAGCTCTGCTGTACAGTCCCTCTCCCAGTCTAAGCTCTGCTGGGACTTTGAGTGGCTAATATCAGATCAAATTGCATTAGAAAATAAATTAAAGTTATGTATTAAGATCAGGACCTTTTCAGCTGGAACACGGGGGAACCTCCAGCACGGAATGTATGAAATGGCAAGGGGTGGTGGGGGTGTACTGCACGGTCCATTGATGCGGTCTGCTGGGAGGATGTACTGTCGCTGGAGGGATCTATTTTTGCAAGGGGGTCTAATGCTAGGGATTTCTACCATTGATGGTGTGGGCTCTATGGTTGCTGGGGGGGGGGGGGGTCTTATGATGTTGTGTGGTCAATTTTTTTCAGGAAGGGATCTACTCTGTTGAGGGAGGGATCTATTGTTGCTAGCTGCTGGAGGATCTATTGAGGATGGCTGTGGAGAGATCTGTTGATGCTGCTGGGGGACGATTGTTGCTGGCTGCAAGGGATCTATTTTGTTGCTTTTCTTATTACAAATTCCATACCAATTGATATTTGGTTCTGTATGCTCTAAAAGGGTGGTACTGGGAGGTAGGTAAGGGGTGGAACTCAGGGACGGTGCGGGGCAGAGACAAGGGGTGACTTGGACCTCTGAGAAATAAACGCCCGGATTAATACATAATTTGCATTATTCTGTGTCTTACATTTGCCTGGAATCCAGTTTGTTATAATATACAGCAGAGCAGTGAAAAAGCAGAGATTTCAAAAAAGGAAATTTATAAATAGGGATGTTCTATATCTTCCATTTGTAACAACATTGGTCAAAAAGTTCCACTTCCCACAGAAGACAAGCAGCCATGTATGGCATTTCCATTGAGTATTTCTCATTTTTACAAATTAAATGAAAATTGTTAATTAGCATTACTTAGGGGGTCTATTTATAAAACATTCATCAATGGATGAAGCATTTGCTCAGGCTGCACGAATTTTACACTACACCCATATTTCCTCTTACACTATGACTTCCTATGATCGTCCGCTCCATCTAGTGGCCAAAATGCAGTAGATTTAAACAAAACACCTCAACTAGGATATAATACATTTTGGCCACTAGATGGAGCTGACGATCATAGGAAGTCTATAGTATTAGAGAAGATGAGGAAAATGCTTGTGACAATTGTCCAACTGTTAAATAGACACCATTTATTAGAAAAAAAAAACAAAAACCCACACACACCAAAAAACAGAAAGCTATTGTATAGTACAGTTAAATGTCATACCCAGTGGTGTATTTATGTTTTGTGCTGCCCTAGGAAACACAAAAATCACCCCCCCCCTCCCCAGTGCACCCCCACTGTCTCTAGTGCACCAATATTTGCTGGGCAGAACTTAGTGGTTGGCCACATCTTCCTGTGAAGGTGTCAGTTAGTGGTACAAGCAGCGTGAAGTGGTATGAGCAAGTCACCTGGCAGTCTGTTAGCCCCCCCTCCCATAGTATACACAGCAGTAGGATGGAGACCACTCACCAGGCCTGGTGGAGGGGTGGGGACCGAGGGGGGCAGCCATGTACTGCCGGTATGTATCCTAACAGCCACATTTCCCTTCCCTCTCTGTGACAGAGATCCCTGCCTCCCCTGGACACTGCCGTCCTCCAGGATCATCACTCAGTCCTGGCTCCCCACCACCATGCACTGTGGAGAGCTCCAACCCTCAGAGCAGCCTACAGCCTGGCCAGGCGCACTGCATGCTGGGAGTTGTAGTCCTGTCCCCACACCCTGCCAGGATTGTAATTCACTCCTGTGGGGGCAGCAGGTCAGAGGCAGGGGAAGGACTACAACTCCCAGCATGTAGTGCAACCGGCCAGACTGTAGGTTTCTCTGAGGGTCAGAGCTCTCCGCAGTGGATGGTGGTGGGGAGCCAGGAATGAGAGATGATCCAGAGGACGGCAGTGTCCAGGGGAGGCCTGATACTCCCACTCCTCACTGGATTCCTCTGCTGTAGTGACATCACTGACATCCCTCCTTCCAAAGCATGGCACTGTCCCCCTGAAAAGTGCCCCCCTGAACAGGTGCCTTGTTTGCCTCCCATGGTCATACCTGCCAAGCACAGCAAGACTGCGAACACACGGAGCTTCATGGTTGATCTGTGAGATGCTCAGTGAAGGTTTCAGCTTTTGCTGTCCTGAATTTATACCCTGAAGCAGAAGTGGGAGGGGTTCTGTCCAATGACACACGGCCTTAGCAATTACAAATGCAATTAAACAGATCCTATAGCAGCATGTCTATGGACAGTCACCCTAATGGCCGTATGGTTTGATTATAAAATTCCCACGTGTGGCAGATATAGAGGATTGAAGATCTGTTTATCATCTTACCTGTTTCACTAAAAACATTTCATCCAAAATGCCCTAAAACTATTATATTTCACACAGTGCACACTGTCAGAGGATTGTTACAAAGTATGAATAAATAATTTAAATATTGTGAAAATAAAAAAAGCAAAGACCATTGCTAATGATATTAACGTGTTACAGAGTCTTCGGTGACACCAAATCTGACTTTGAAATCGTGCGACTTCACTTGAGTTCACACAATTTCATAGTCGGATGTCAGTCTGACTTCAGGTGCCACTTGGAAGACATCTGTGCAACTTCATGTACAAATGTCTATGCGAGTCGCAACTGAACTTGTAAAAAGTAGTGCATGAAGTACTCTGCAAATCGGTGCGACTCCGGGGGAGTCGGAATCGCACCGATATGACAAACAATAGGGTGTGACTTGTTATGTGATTTGAAACTATCAAATCACATTAAACTTCGCACTGGTGTGACTGGGGACTAAACCCACAACAGTACAATCAGTCTGTACATGCCTGAAAGCATGCTTGTTATACTCACTGTGGAACCTAAGGGGTTATCCTCTGCATTGTGTAATTTTTGTTGTCTTCTCTGATCCTCCCCTTCTTCTACTGTCCCCAGTCCATCTGCTGATAGTACAGAGCCTTGAGGGCAAACTCTGCATGCTCAGTTTGGTTTGTATTGCTAGAGGGTTTTTTATTTTTCTTGGGATAGTAGCCTCATAGGATAATTGGAGGAGAACGAAAACTTCTCCTACAAGCTTTAACCAGTGCTCTGCTGGACACTGAGAGAAGTCACAAGACTGCTATATACTGCTGATGAGAAAAGGTATTTAGGAGTTTATATTTACTGAAATAATTGCACTTCCATGTTGTGTGTACTGTGGGAGACCAGATATAGTGAATGCAGGGTCCGGGGAGACCAGATATAGTGAATGCAGGGTCCGGGGAGACTGGATATAGTGAATGCAGGGTCCGGGGAGACCAGATATAGTGAATGCAGGGTCCTGGGAGACCAGATATAGTGAATACAGGGTCCTGGGAGACCAGATATAGTGAATGCAGGGTCCGGGGAGACCAGATATAGTGAATGCAGGGTCCAGGCAGACCAGATATAGTGAATGCAGGGTCTGGGCAGACCAGATATTGTGAATGCAGGGTCAGGGCAGACCAGATATTGTGAATGCAGGGTCCAGGAAGACCAGATATTGTGAATGCAGGGTCTGGGGAGACCGGATATAGTGAATGCAGGGTCCTGGGAGACCAGATATAGTGAATGCAGGGTCCGGGGGGAGACCAGATATAGTGAATGCAGGGTCCGGGGGGTCCGGATATAGTGAATGCATGGTCTGGGCAGACCAGATATTGTGAATGCAGGGTCCGGGCAGACCAGATATAGTGCATGCAGGGTCAGGGGAGACCAGATATAGTGAATGCAGGGTCAGGGGAGACCGGATATAGTGAATGCGGGGTCCGGGAAGACCGGATATAGTGAATGCAGGGTTTGGGGAGACCAGATATAGTGAATGCAGGGTCCGGGGAGACTGGATATAGTGAATGCAGGGTGCGGGGAGACCAGATATAGTGAATGCAGGGTCCGGGGAGAGCGGATATAGTGAATGCGGGGTCT